CCGTCCTTCGATCCAAATATTCCGTTCTCTACTCCTACGGCACCGGTCCTGCGCCGGAGCCCGCTCGCGTATACGATGCCACTATCCCAGGCCACAACGGGGATTTAATCCCCTGCCGAGTCTACGAGCCCGATAGCCCGGGACCATGGCCCGTCCACATTGACTTTCACGGTGGTGGTCCGTCCCCCCACCCCCCGTCCCCGTCCACATCTTTCGTAAATCAAAGCTAATTCAGATTATATTATATGTAGGCTGGGGCCTCGGCGACCTAGACACCGAATCACACATCTGCAAGCACATCGCCGTGAAGGCCAAAGTCGCCGTGGTCGACATCGCCTACCGTCTCGTACCCGAGCACGCCTTCCCCATCGGCATCCAAGATTCATTCGCAGCACTCCAACACCTATCCTCTCCGGCCGGCCGCACCCAATTCCCAAACCTCGACACCACGCGCATTTCCCTCGGCGGAGTCTCCGCAGGAGGCAACATCGCCCTCATCCTCGCACACCTAGCCCGCGACCACCAAATCCCTCTCCGTCTAGTAGCGGTAGGAACACCCGTAATTGACGACATCTCCCAGTATACCACAGCGCACGACTCGCCCTTCCCCTCAATGCAGGAGATGGAGCACGCGCCGACTCTGAATTGGGCGCGCTTAAAATGGTTTGATCAGCTGAAGTGGCGCAGTCTCAGCAGCGAGGACGAAGATCTGCGTCAGAAGCAGTTGGCTGAGGTGAAGTGGTATGCTAATGCGCTGAATGCGCCGGATTTTACTCGTTTGCCGCGCACGGTTATCTATACGGCGGGGTGTGATCCGCTGCGTGATGAGGGTGAGGCGTATGCAAGGAAGTTGGTTGAGGGTGGGTGTGAGGTTACGGTGAGACGGTTTGAGGGCGTTCCTCATCCGTTTATGCATATGGATAAAGGTGAGTTTTGTTCTTTTTCCCCCGGGGGCACTTTTTTTTCGGGTGCGTGCTGATGAGAGGTACTAGATCTATGGCAGGCACGGCAGTTTATAGATTTGATCGCGGGTCATATTAAGGGAGCGTTGCATGATTAGATAGATGAATAGCGATGAATAGCCTCGCAGTGTGCATATTCAGTGTAGACTTTTAAGAAGTAAGCATTCACTGCAATCAGCTTCCCAAACATATTTGCCACCAAACAAAAACAATAGGCCAATAGTAGTAGTAGAAGAAGGCCCTGTAGGCAACTCAATGACTTGCCCGTTGGTCGTCTCTCCTCGCAACGTCGGATGATTTTCGACCAATTATTTATAACTCAATTTCGGCGGGTAAGCTGTATAATGGCTAAGTTGATGGCTTTATAATTGCAGGATATATTTATTCTTAACCAGACATGCGAATCATTTGAACCCTACCTAGACGACCCTGATACTCCATACTCCACACTCCACTCCATACCATGTATGGAGTATGTGAACATCAATCCCATCGATCCATCTCGGCTAATTCTCCCCATTGAGCCTCAAGCTCCCGGATCATCCAGTTCGTTCGCCACCCAACCGCCTTTTCTACCCGGCGGAGGAATTGCAGGGACCCTTGTTTCTCAGAGGGGTGGCGGAGGCAGTAGCCATCTAACTCTTATTAGCGACAGCCATGTGGGAATGGCATCTGTAGACTCACATCTATGTAACAAGTGGCACGCCATAAAGTATGCATTCTCCACAGTCTCGTTTGACATGGAAAGTCCTATCGTCCGGACCAGATGGAATGCTATGGTCCTCTGTATCCAGTTAGAATGGACATATTGTCACTTCTGACTGATCATACCTCTTCTGTTCGTCGCAGCCGCGCCAGCTCGTAATCGCTTGATACATTCCAGTGCCGGTGAGACGAGGTAAGAAGGATACACGATGCATGGTAGTATTGTAAACCGACGACTATATGGTCAGCGACGGCTACACATCAGGTGCCATTACATACCTGCTGATGGAGACATCATCCATAACTCAGGGAACGGTCGATTTTCTGCTGGATCTGAATCCTTGTATTGCAACGGTTGCCAGCTGATTGGTCGCCCACGATGCCACTGCTCCACGCTTTCAGATAAATGCTGCCACTCGCCCTCATCGACAAAGCTGCAGTGTGATCCCCAGCAGGACTGGATGATCTTCGCACACAAAAAGATAATTACGTTGGCATATGAAGCGTCATCGCGGCGCTGGAACACGGACGAGAGCTCGTAGTTGGCTAGATCCAGTTGCATCGGTTGATGTTGCACCAGGGAAGCATAGATTGCCTGGCGGAGGAATTGCCAACTGACTGCTTCGGCGAGACCGCCAGAGGAAGCGGACTTGGACATAGTATTTAGGAGCCTGTTTGACCCGACCCAGTGGCACTTTTCATCTGTTGCGCGCTCGAGCTCTTCATATATTCGCAGGGTGACTACAGTAATAAGCAGGTTATCATCATAAGTCTCCTCTGGCAACGCTAGAGCAGAAATGAGAAGCTCTAGACACTGTCCATGATATTCGGAGGCCTCCCAGTCGCTGGCGTTGGACATGATTGCATCGTGTCGGGCTGCGAGGCACAGTACGGCTTTCAGCACCATCGGGACTTGCAAGGCTCGACGAGGGACTTCGGTACTGAAATGGGAGCGAAGATCGCATATATCGGCCTAATAAAAGTATTAGACTAATAGATTTGTTTTCTACGAAGAAACTTACCCATGGTGCAATCTTCTGGATGAACAGCCGTAGTAGATGGGCTTCACGGGAGCTCAACGGCGGTGAGCTGCTCGGACGGGGACTCACCGAGCTTAGCGGTGACGCCGAGCTCGCCCATGTACTCGCAGACGCCAAAGGCGAGACAATATTCAAAAGAGAAGGAGACAAGCCGGCAGAGGATGCAACGATTGGGGGATCGTTGAAGACAGGGGACCCCACAGGGGGACTTGAGTCCGCATGTGGATGGCGGATATTCTCATCCTGAGAATAGAGGACTTCAGGAAAGGGCAAATGATTAAAAATGGATATTTGGTCGGAGATATCTCTCTGAGCCTCATCAGAAGCATCCTGATGATCGTCGTTATCCTGGGCATCAGGTTGAGCATCGGTGGTGTTACCCTCGTCCGACTCATCGGACGATTCCTGCACAAACTTTACTATACAACCAATCAGCATGCCAAGAGATTCACAAACAACCAACAGGGTCGGTTCCAGCATACATGACTGAGGGAGATTAACCCATGTCTGACACGGATCCCAGGCTAGCTCAAACTTAGAGGCTATGCCATTACTCTTCTGGTATACATGTCGGACGGCTTTGAAACGAAACGGCGGATCCAAGCGACAGACCCGTCCCAGACGAGTACAGGCATTACAAGCCGAGGCGCCCGCGCGAGTGGTGCATCGAATATGACGAACCCGACAACGTTCACATCCTCGTCCGATTCTCATGGCAGGCTGTGGGGCAAGAGGCCCTTAGCGTTCAGCGCTGCGGGGAAAGGGCAACAAACGGACAGGGACATCGGCGGGCTAAGGAGATTCATCCAGCCTACTGAACAGGAGGACGAGATTGACGGCGAGTGTGGCCTGATGGGGGGAGGGATGGGATGAGGACACGACAGAGGAGAGGAGGACGGGTATAGCTGCGAGGTGAAATGGCAGCTTGTCGGCTATTGATTTGTTGCCAATGCGGAGTCTGTCTCCCCCGCGGGGCCTGGGGCCAGCAATTTCCCGTTTAAGTCTAGCTCTGTTTTCCCCGCATTGTCCCTGTGGCTGATTCAGCATTTAGCTTTTGCATGCTTTCTGATTGGTGGATATACACCTATTCCTATGGGTGATGAGTTTATGGGACGGACTGTTGCTTACTATTTGATATGGATTGTTTGAATCAAAATGATGTCATTATCGGATTTTAGAAAAGTTTGGTTCTATATCTAGTAAAGAACTTTCCAGATCTGTAGAAGAAAGGAACTAAATTTAGATTATCTTACATATCTTGATGGTCAATTGAATGTCCGGTAAGCTTTTTCCCTTCCCTTCAACTTATATTGTTAGTTTCTTCTACTGATCCGGTTCCTTTCTGTAAATCCATGTGGTAACCGCATAATAAACCATGGGATCCGAGGTCTTACAGCTCCCCTGCAAGAGCAGACACCCTGCCAAGACGCAGCCATGACCAGAACCCACCTGTTCAATGACAGCTAGTTTGTAATCTGGGTAGTAGGGTCCCCGTTCTCCTTCCGGACAGCCATCTGTGACAGGTGTGGAACTCTGCAAGGTACAATTCCTGGTCTCATATTCCACGGGATCACTGCACACAAAAGAGGTGGAAGGAATGATGTTTCATGTGCTGTGTTGTAGCAGTTGATTCTTTTTGAATGTTAGATACAAAACGTAGGATAACAGGAAAACAGGAGAAGAGAGCGTAGGATAGTATGATGTTCTTCCTTAGAAGGAAGGATCGTGACGCTGCAAGTTGGTAGTATAATACAGGGCTGGGCTGGAATAATGAAGATAGTCTAGCTCATTTCAACCGTTTACAGTAAATTCCAGTGTACATAAGGCTAAGTGGTAAGAGCATGATACGCAGCTATGCCTCCAAGGTATATATTCAATCAGGGTCCCCACTAGAGAACGTTACTCCATGCTCCCAACAGACAAGCCTACATAGCCAGCATCTTATATAGCGGGCTCAATTATGTATAGGCATGAGAGTGGATTGCGGGGAACCCTACCGGCAAAATACATCAAGCGGGAAAGCACTTTTCCGGGCCTTCAACACCGCTTACCCGGTACAATATGCCAGGCATATCGCCTATCAAAGAGTACCCTCATAGACACAACCGCATTACTATGCACCGATATATGCATCATGATACATCGCCTCGATCAGGGACCACATTTACTCCGTTTGTGGTGAGTGATTGTGCGCCGTCGCCGTGAAATTCCGAGGTCGGGCAGGCGAGAATTCGATCCCCAAGGCGGGAAAGAGATGGGTAGGAGTGGGTTTTCTATAATTTGGGAAGTCGGGAGGGGGGGAAGGTCGAGCGTGCCGGATTCGAAGAGGCGGAGTTATGATGAGGCTGAAAGGTGTGGAGTGAGAAGTTGAAGGTGGACATGTATGAGGTCGATGAGGTGCGGCTTTATTTTCCGTTGAGGCAATTTGTGGGTGTATTAAATGGGATGGAGTGAGGCGGTAGTAGTAGAGGTTCGATTAGTCCAATGGAATGGGGATATTCTTTCGACGATATGTTGGTGCATGTGAATGAATGCCATTGTTTATCGCGCAATGAGGCTGTAGCGGAGCTAAGTGAGAATGGAATCATGGAATGATATGCGTCGGGTCGGTCCGTCATGTTTGTTGCGCCACTATATGATCTCCAAAAATCCAAAGATTTGCAACCAAGCCCTAATGGGACATGGATAACCCGTCACCAGTTAGGAAGGAAAACAGGCTGGCGCTAGGCAGAACGGACCAGGGGTCTCTGCCTGTCTCCGACCGCTAGTTTTCCTCGAGGACCATTGGCCATTCGAGTTACTCTCAGGTTGTTAGTTGTCTGTAGGCTCTGCGCGATCGCATCCAGACCAGTGAATAATGCAGACCCATTAGGCAGACATGCATGTCAACCGCGTCCCACGTTGCTTGCCGCATCCCACAGCCTCCCTGCGTCGAAGATCCATAGAGGCTCTGCTCTGCTGTGGTCCACTCGTTCAACATTTGTTTTCTTTTTCTCACTACTCATTATTGAATATTTAGAATGTTGGTCATGTAGTAGACAAACTGATGTCATCTGTCCTCAGGGGAATCCTCTTGACCTCGTCCCTGGTGCCCGGCTGACTGATTTCTTTGCTTGCCCTGTGACCGACCCGAGCAGCCACACTCCATCGCCACACTGCCTCTGCCTCTGCCTCTGCATTCAACCAAGTACGCACACAACATCCTGGCTGTTGGTAAGGCTGGAGAAAGCTCCAGCCGTGACACCTTGCTCAAGCAAACCGCAACCCTCCCCCTCGCAGCTGAGCCACAACAGTTGGTTCAATAAGACTAGCGAAAAGCAGCTATGCCCCGGCTGATCCTGACGTGCGGTCATTGTCGCCGCGATTTGCAATATCATTTAACTTTATAAGAATTCCACCGAGTCGCAACTCCCACCCGACCTGAATCTTCATCATCAGGAACGATCATCTTCTTAATGGGATCGTTTGCTATTTTAATTCTGCCCTTCCCTTCCTTCGTTCTGTGATTTCCTCCTTTCCGTCTGCCTTCTTCACCTGTGGACACACGCGCTGTTCACTCGTATTCACCTTCTCCTTCCTTTTCCCATCCTTCCCCCCTCCTTCACTTATCAGGCGCGGTGAACCCATGACTTCACCCACATGTCTTGGATCCATGACATCGTCGCAACGTGCTGTTTACTACAAATTTCTCAAATGAAAACAGTACCTTCGTCTGCTTTTGCACGCTGCCACAATGTGCCCTGTCCATCTATAGTAGTGAGCTCTACGGACCCTACCGCGCGAAAGCGGCTGTTGCCATACGTCTACGTCTACGCCTCATACCACCTACTACCGCAGATTCCGTGCCTGATCCAGCATCGCAGCGCAAGATAGGGCATGTGTATTGTCGAAGAGTATACCGCCTCGTACCCTGACGTCCGACGAAGGCGGGTCCTTCAGCGGTGCCTCTTGGGGAGATCGTTAGGGTACTGTTATCGCACCCAGGTGGTCAGCCCTGGCGAGCGCGTCCCTGAGCGCCCGGCCAGTCAAATTCAGTACGGGAAACCCAGAAGTACTTATCGACCGGCCATGCAGTCACTGCGCGATCTGATCGTCGATCCACGGGAGCCGGCACGGCGGAGAAAGTCCCCAAACTATCCGCGACGGATGCCCTCGCGACGAAGTGACCCTTTCCGAGTTTTCTTCCCCTTCCTTCGACGAGCATCCGACAGCGATGACGTGTGGAAGGACGACGAATATCGGCCGCGAGGTCGGGGACGGTCGCCTCGGCCAGTCAGTATGCCACGGGACGTACCTCCCATCAAACGTGAACCGCGGAGCGTTCCAAAAAGACGGCCTCTAAGTTCAAAAATCAGGGTGGTCACCCCACCACCAAAGCCTCTATACAAGGAGGAACCACTGCGACCACGGCCCGCAAGGTCACCTGCTTCGCCTTCTCTCTCACCCCGGGATCCAGGTACCTTCCGTCGTCCAGTCATTATTCATCAGGAGCCAAAGCCACGACCAAGCCCAATCCCTTCTTCAGGCTCATCTGGATATCGATTCAGGAATCCATGGCACAGTAGATCCCCATCTCCAGGCCCCTCCAACTGGCGTCGCAAGGAGCCACGACCGAGTCCATCAGTATCCCCAGGACCAGCAAGACCTCAGGGGCCACAGCCGCAACCATCTCCAGAAGGTGCACCAAGTACTAATGCTCCAGCAGCACCCGTCACCCCTCCCCAAAAGAAAGAGCGACGCCCCAGGGAGCGGTCCCCATCTGTTGAGCGTGTCCCAATCCGCAAGACACGTTCCACCCCAACCGTTCCGGTGGAGGTGCACAACCCTCCAGCTCCAGACCCTGGCCCCAAACCAGTTACAACGTCAAACACCACATCCCCAGGGAGTGGATCCCGCCACGTGCAGTTTTCTGACATAGTGGATCATCTCTCTATATCCGGAGAGAGCAATGCTCCCTCGTCTCCTACCGGCCCTCCGCGCTTCTATAAACAATTTGCCAGCGCAAGTCGCCGTAGGTCCCCAACTCCGGGGCCTACACCCAGAGTAAGACAAGGACGAGTTGATTCAAGCTCCCAAAGAATCCGATATGTGTATGCGTCTCCTGCTGCGAGTCGTTCATATCCCCGGGGCGTTGAGGTGCTGATTGTGACTCCGCGCAGGTATCGACCAGGAGGAATCACCCCACCAGTGAACCGGGAAGCCGTTGACATTCACGAAATTGAACCCGAGAGAAGCAGTTCATGGTCTGGACAGGCTGCTAGGGTGGGTTTAGAGGGGAGCGGTTGGCGGGTGGAACGTCGGCCCAGACGTGGGATGGGGAGGGAGGTGCTGGGAACAGGCGCGAGGCCGAGGATCGTATCACTTTCACCGCCGAGAGCGCGATGGAGACCCAGAATGCGCCAGACTGAGCGGTATGGGGGGTTCGATTCGGGCGATGAACGGGTAGTTAGGGATGGGAGTGGTTCGGGGCGAGTCTGGAGGTGGCTGTAAGAATTAGGGTCATGGTGGAAGTTGTAAGATGTGGTTAGTAGTGGACATTTTTTCGGGCTATTCCTTATGTTGACCGTGTTTGTTGTCTTGATAAGAAAAGAAGACCGTTATTTATTGTTTGAAAACGCTATAAGGATAGAAAATGATATATGTCGTTGAACTGAGAGATGAAGCAAGGAGCAGGTAAGATGTAAACTGGAGACAGTTCCCCACATGACTATCACCACGTGACTTCAAGGGGACCTCGGCAGCGGTTAGCGGCGGGCCGGCGGGCGGAGAAGAGGAGAAGCAGCAAGCATGCATGTGCATCTCATTCCATCTCTCATCATTCTCCTGTGCTACAAATCTACCTGTTTCTTGCTTCTTCCCACTATCTCATTGTCATCGCTACCTTATTCAAGCCTAGTTATTTCCCACTTTCTCTCCTACTACTGATACCCACAATGCTTGCCTCCCGTCTAACCCCGCGATCCATCCCCGCACGCCAATGGCGTCGACACTTCAGCGCCGCCCGACCGGCTCTGAAGGAGATCCAAGATGCCTACATTCTCAGTGCGGCGCGCACTCCAACCGCCAAGGTACGATTCTTTGCACCCAACGTCCACAGCCATACTAATCGGAATACAGTTCAACGGCTCCTTCGTGTCTGTCCCGGCTCCTCAACTCGGCGCCGTGGCCATCAAATCTGCAGTCAGCAAATCCAACCTCCCCGTCGAGAAGATCACAGACGTGTACATGGGCAATGTTCTCCAAGGCTCCGTGGGCCAAGCACCCGCGCGCCAAGCCTCCATCTTCGCCGGCCTCGCCCCCACCGTTGAAGCCCTGACCGTGAACAAAGTATGCGCATCAGGCCTGAAGGCCGTCGCTCTGGCGGCCCAGAACATCCAGCTCGGACTAGCGGAGGCACAGGTTGCCGGTGGTATGGAGAATATGTCGCGTGTGCCGTACTACATGGCACGGTCTAGTCAGCTGCCTCCTTTTGGAGAGATTAAGCTCGAAGATGGCCTAATCAAGGACGGGCTGTGGGACGTGTACAACCAAATTCATATGGGGATTTGCGCAGAGCAGACGGCAAAGAAGTATGAGGTGTCACGGGAAGAGCAGGATGATTATGCCATTCAGTCGTACGAGCGGGCACAGAAGGCGTGGGCGGAGGGATTATTCAGCGAGGAGATTGCCCCAGTGACGGTGAAGGGCAAGAAGGGGGATACGGTGGTGGAGAGGGATGAGGGCTTTGAGAACCTCAAGGCAGATAAGCTGCGCGGATTAAAGCCTGCGTTCTTGCGTGACGGCACTGGCACTGTCACGGCGGGTAACGCGTCCACGATGAATGATGGCGCGTCCGCCGTCGTGGTGGCTAGTTGTGAATTGGCGAGGGAGTTTGGCACGGGAAATCGTGCTCTGGCAAGGATTGTTTCTACTTCTGATGCCGCTATTGACCCTGTCGATTTCCCTGTGGCCCCGGCCAAGGCGGTCCCGATTGCGCTAGAGCGCGCGGGCATCAGCAAGGACCAGGTGGCGGTTTGGGAGTTCAACGAGGCATTTGCGGCGGTGATCAAGGCCAACGAGAAGGTGAGTGCTACACCTACGCCTTTGACATTCATTGAATATGGCTAACCAGACAGATTCTGGGACTGCAAAACGCGCGAGTCAACCCGCTGGGTGGAGCCATCTCGCTGGGTCATGCGCTGGGCAGCTCGGGCTCGCGCATCTTGGTGACCCTGCTGCACCAGCTACAGCCAGGCGAGTACGGTGTGGCAGCCATCTGCAATGGCGGCGGAGCAGCTAGCGCGATGGTCGTGCAGAAGCTGGACCGGGTGGATTAAACATCCTTGTACGGAGTACATATGAAGAAATTGATGCCAACATGTTCATACTAGCTAGCGGTCAATTTAGCCTCAGCCTTCCAAAAATCAAGCCAAGCCAAAGGCAACCCTAATAATGCCCCTGCACCGTCAACGTCCCCGTCTTGGTAACCAAATACTCATCCACAGCCACATCCTTCCCACTCTCCTTGCCATACCCACTCTCCTTCATGCCCCCAAACGGCGCCTCTGCAGCCGACATACTCCCCGTATTCAAGCCCACCATACCGGCCTCCAGCTTCTCAAACAACCTCCACAAGCGATCCGCATCCTTCGTAAACGCATAACTCGCCAGCCCCAAACTAGTATCATTGGCCCACTGCACGGCCTCATCCTCCGTATCAAACGCATACAA